CCAATATTAATCACTTAATTTCCCATTACTCAGGTGGTTTGTAATATTATCGGCTATTTTGTATTTCTTTTTCAATTAAACACATTCAGTTGTAGGAATCTTTCTCACCGAAACCACATGTACACATTTCTAGAAACCAAAAAAACGCAACAACTGTTTTAAGCCTCGGCACTATTTTTAACTTATTTTTATCTAATTTTCTTTAGTTTTTTTCGTGTCCTAAAATAGCAAAAACAAATATGTGCAAATAAAGTAAAAATATTCAATAAAAAATCATTGAATTAGTGCTTTCAAGAGCACCCTCCAAAACGCCACCGAGCCTACTTTAAAAAAAACAACAACCACAGCGTTACAGACCTAAGCAAATAAATAGATACACCCGCTAACATATCTACACCGCTTTAACCCATTGCAAATATTTTGTGGACTTAGTAGAGCAAATATTTGACTTTCGTATTATGAATTTTTCTCTATGATATTACACGGCACTTCTAATATTGTTGTTGTTGTTAGTGTTTTTTTTAAATTCATTAAATATTTACTTATAAATGCAGTCATAAACTTTTAACAAATACAACTATGTAAGCAATCAATCTAATTGCTTTATAAATTATAAAGCGTTTTTGAAACACAATACGCAGTATCAGCTGTTTCTTTCTATTAAAAATAGTTGAGGGAAACCCTTGCTACCGGTATTAAGTGGCCATTAAATAAGTCATGGATGACAACAGGTTAAAAATATTTTCTTAGTGCTATTTATGATTTATAGCAGGCAATTGTATAAGCGCAATTCTCGAAAAGTTTTCTATAAAGTAAAGATACGTGTTATATATAATACGAATATAAGATAATATGATAATATGACATAAGTATATAGAAGCATACATCTAAAAAGTCCAGATCGGACGTCCATGTGTTAGTTGGTTTTTTTTTTGATTAGGTGAAAAGCATCACAAACTTCCATGTGAGACTTTCATCCACTAGAACTACTTAAGATTTTCAGAAAAGAATTGTGGTAACGTATCAGATAACATGCCATTCCTAAAATCAAGCACAAAATGGAGAGACCAGAGAGCATGGATAGAAAGTAATAATATGTGTGGAAAATGAAATTCTAATAATATTAAAAATAAATAAAAGATAGGTGAATAAGTGATATTAATTTCAGTAAAACTATTTTTGCGTAGTTAAACCAAGAAGAGTTTTTATCAACTGAAAGTGTTAAATCTCCTAGATAATTGTAACAAAATTGGAAATTATAGAGATATGCTAATCACTATCATTGGAGACCCTTTTAGCGGTATTGAACATTATATAAATGACTCAGTACACTCAGAAAAATATGTTCTAACCACATATAAGTTAAATTGATCTGATCTTTTTGTTAGAAAAATTTTACCTCATGTGGTAAAGAAGATATGAAAACCAACATATGATATGGTTGAATCAACATGATATGTCAAATAAGATTATATTAACATGAGATGTAATTAGAATCTGGTTAAATCAACCAAATTATTATTCTGAGTGTAATAAAGGGAAGGGAGTTCCTAATGGAAATATAAGCAGAGTATATATAGCCTCTATGTTTCACAAGGAGAAGAGGACTACAGTAAATTCATCAACATCATTAGTGCTGCAGCGAATCTTGACCTCACTCTGAAAACTCCTTCACGTATCTCTGTCGTTTGCTATCATTCTCCAGTTTCTACTTCCAAGCTGTTGCGCTGTTTGATCCGCATTATCTATTCTGCGTAAACTCAGACGCACTTTTTTCCTTTCTTCTACTGGTGCATGTTGAAATATTCGTTTTGTTGGGGTAGCACGTACTCACTCACTCTTTAAATATATCCAGCCCATTGTAGTTGCTTAAGTCTTACTCTCTTGCTTATTGCTGGCTGTTCTCTCTTGCTCTTTTTGACATTCGTCATTAAATCTCAGCCGATAGGTGCCGTCTTCTTCTTTAATTGAACCAAGTTTGTGACATATAATCTTGCATTCGAAGGTATCTAACTAAGCTTATTAATAGTAAGTTAGTGATATATTAAAGAAATGGGACATAGTATCAAATATTGAGAAACCACGACAGCGAGTATATATGAAGACTTGGACACTTAAATAGAATGTAATATAGAATATGAATATGATGTTTATCTTAGAATATGCAGGCAGGTGATTATTTCTAAGTTCTAAATTATAAAAAGAATAAGAAGAATTTAAAAGAAAATTGATTAATGTCATCCAGACATGGGTTGAGATAATGTGAAGCAATTAATAAGAATTTGTTCAATGTCGGTGAGAAGTGATTTTTTTAAGATTTTTTTTAGAAACTTGGGGTTGCGTTTTCTTATCACAACAATATCTTTCTTTACATTTAAAACTTTACTAACCGTCTGTTTAATAGATTTTAAAATCATTTCACAGGTACCGCCGCTGTTAGTCAAGTTATTTGCTTGATTTGCGTAGAAAGCAAATTGATTAAATCTGCTTTGCATTTCTATTGCCGGTAAATTTAGTTAAAAGATTCATATGCGAATTCTTTTGAATTAAAAATTCGTCATCAACATTCGTAACGTCATTATCATTCAATCATATTAATTTAATTAATACTGGCGTCAAAAAAATGTTTACAGTCTTGTGTAGCTAAACAGCAGATGAATTTCATTATGTATTTTTTAATGTTTTTTCATATTTTTTTTAATAATTTTTTTTTAATAATTTTTTTTTTACTGATAAAAAATATTAAAATTTTTTTAATAAATTTTTTGCTATTCAGTTTTATTGTGTGTTAATGACGTCGTCGTTTTCATTGATAAGAAACTGATAACAAGTTTTTAGTAATTTTTTTTATACGTTTTATATATTTTTTTATTTACTAATATATCTATTAATTTAACACTATGTAGACTTGTTTTTACGCACTTTTAAAAACTCGTCTTTTTTTTTCTATTTTTTTCTTATCAAATTTGCAAGAAATTAGCAAAACAAATTATTTGCAAAATTTTATAGGTGAAATATAATTTATTAGCTAAATATTATCAAATTTTCTACAATAGAACAAAATTCACATTTTGATAACAAAATAGAAACAATTTTGATGTACAGAAGTGTACGCTACAAACGGTCATTTATTTGCTTTGACATTATGAGTTAGATAGAAAGACTAGGTATTATAATTTAGAACATATTTATTAACATCAGTTCAAACAGATTTAATGAGTTATATAGAAAAATGACAAATATTATTGCAGGAAGAAACATTAGAATTTTTTAACAGATTTATTGGGGAGTACATTGGGCTGGGCAAAATGTAGACGGCGAATACTGTGAACACATACAGTTTAAATGCAAAGAGAAAGTACACTTGTGTAAAATAATTGGAGATACTATAAAGTCTATAGTACTTAACATCATACAACAATCTTTAACATATATCAAAACAAAGAAGTGGTAGATGATATTAACGGGTTAACTAATGAAATATTCGTATATACATTTTCTATGATTGGTTTGAAATTTTATTCACATGATCAAGATAGTCATCAATTATCTATTTCTGCTTAATTGGTTTATGTAGACAGGTCTTTTGGTGTTCAAACTGCAAAATAATATAACATATCCATACTATTTATATACCTCAATATAGTAGTAGTAATAGTGGTAATATAACTGCAACAAATTATTTGATATTAATTTAATTGTTTTAAAATATGTTTTATTAACTAAAACCAACTATACAAAAATATTTAATATTACACATACAAATGTTTTTAAGATTAAAATGATATTTGCTATAATCATCAGTTTAATTACCTTAAAAGCGCAAGTAATTTTTATTTTATTCATAATCTACAAATCGAGTTCTAACGTTTAGTTTATCACACTTCGCAAACATATATTGAGATAAAAAAAATTATGTTTTTTGATATATAAAAAAATCGAGTTTATACCTTCGACTGTCTGTCCGTCCCAATATAAGTTTTTCTCATGTAACATTTATAATTAATATATCTCGAGATCTCTCTCAGTGGTTCTCTTACTTGTTTCTACTTCCTCCTCTGATTTGATCTTTTTCTTAAAGCATTATTGTATCATAAGCTCCTCTGAATATTTTTTGTGTAATACTCTCAGAAAGATATGGGTAATTATAATTAACCATCTACAGAAGTTTCTAAACCGCACAGCCTGAATCTGAGCGACCTACCTGCCTGTACAAACAAATGATCAGTTGAATATAAAGCTGTGACATCAAAATCAACTTTACCGATATGCTTGTACCGGAAGGTATAAAAGGCAATATACATATATAAAAGAGTATATTAAACTCTTAACTTTTAAAAATTATTACAATTAAATTAAAGCTTAAAAATATACATTTCAGCAAACTTGATATTTGCTTACGTTCATAGCTGCGCATATACGCATACATACATTAAAAAACGAATAAAACAATAACAGCCAAGGCAGTGGCAAGATCAACTGCAAAGAAAATATTGAAAAGAACTTTATTAAAATATTTCCAATATTAAAAAATTAAGGTCTAATTTCGTACATATGTATGTGAATATAAAAAAAAACTGAAACAATATCAGGAATTAATCTAATCATATCTTTTCATGTAACGTCAGCAATATATGTTAGAGTTATCAAATTTATTGGCCTCGGAACTTTAGTAACATATTTAGTATTTAATATTATTACGGATATGACTATTTAATAAGACATGCTCTGCAATCTTAAGATCTACAGTGCCCCCCATTCATAAATTCTAGCAATTTCTAGCAATTAAGTGCTTGGATAAATTCGTATTCGTTTTGTCAAGTTTTGTTTTTTCACCTGATATAACATGCTCCCTTATATATATCTAAATATTTAAATATTTGAACATAATAAATTAATAAATATATAAATAAGCAATTACTTGAATAAATATATACTAAATAAACAAATATATAATTAAATGAATATATAAATAATTAAATTTTTTTTTCGAATTTCAGACATACAAATTCAGTTGCTATTGCTATATGGTAAGTGACAACTAAGTATAATAATAATTATACTTTAATTGTAACTAAAGTATATTCTAGTTAGATAGTTCTAGATATTTTAGCCTTTTGAAAAACTTCAATCCTCTCTATAGCGCGTTCACACAAATGTCAGCAAACGGAAAGCTAAAGGTTAGTATATTAAAAGATTCATATTTCTTCAGTTTATAAGATGTGATTGTTGTAGCCGAGGTAATAATAGAAGTAACTGAGGGAGGGAAATGAGGGAATGAGGGAAATTCTAAGTTGTGTGTGCAGTGCAAAAAATTCCAAAAAATCTCCAATTTGGTTTAGCAGAGTTAGGACGTGTGCCTAACTCGCACACGTCCTAAATAACAACGAAGATTAGTTTTAAGATGTGTTAGAGATATATTTCTAGAGTTGGATTCAAGCGGTAGTAGAGAGATCTTGTTTTCTTTTGTTAGCATTAGGAAATTCATTTTCCTTAGTAAGTCAGTTCGAAATGAATTATGTACACAGAATAATAATAGACTTATTTTTCCAGATTGTCATAGAGTTATGTTTATAGATTTCGATGTTAGTGGACACACAGGTGGTGGTAAATATTACTAAATTATAATGTCAGTCCTATTAACTTAATATGCTCATCATTCATTTCCTTCTGTTGAAATTTTAGATGCAGCACACACTGGATATATATTAATGTTTGAAGTATAAATTTTTACTCAGTGTATTGAAAACAATTAATCACCATTTGACACATTTGCTCCCATTTTATTTTGCGAGTTTAAACAAATTTAAACAAATTTATTAATCAAGTACAGAAATATACTCGCACTTCACAGAAACACGACTATCGAAAGTCAAGAGAGACCTTGTTTGATTTATAATGTGTGAGCAGTAAATATTTATTTCCGAATTATGTCTTGTGCTATAAATACTTGACATTTAATATTTTCGCTGTTTACGGGCAGCAAAAATGGGTCTCGGTCGTCAGTGGTTGTACTTTGCTTTGAACTTTGTACTACCGAAGGTGTGCACGCATGAGGGCGTTTATGAGTAATAAACGAATTTTTTGTTGATTTTTTCAATTAAAAATTTTAATATTTTTCAAAAAGTTCTAAAAACATAAAAAATTAGTGGGTCAAGTGTGTGAGTACAGTTATGCAATGAAGTTTTCCTTCAGTTAATTACAGTATTTTTTTTCGCCAATGCCGAAATGCATGTACATAGATGGATATTGGCGTGGATTTCAATTTAATCTAGCAGTAATCAAATTCAAATCATACGATGGTCAAAAACTTGAGATGGTCTGTTGCACATGATTTTTTCCATCTTTGTTTTGTGTACTCTACATCGGTTCAAGTTACTGTTCCATGATCTTTGCAAGTACAAACATGGCTTTGATTGCCTTAAACGAGGTGGAACTGATGTTAAGTTATTCTTTGAGTTTTTTGGTATATTAGCTTTTAGTTAGATTAATATAGATAAGCACGTAAATAGTAAATAAAAGTAGAAAAGAAGTTCAATATTTATTAATGCATTAATTTAGAATAAAAGCATTTTTCCGCTTACCGGACAATGGATCTCATACGTTCCGGTGGACAGAAGACCTTACCAGTGCTATTAACAATTATTTATTTTGCGGAATATGAAGAAATTATTTTAATCTATATTATAATTAAAAAAACTATATAAAATATTAATATTAAATTATTTGAAATCAGTATATATGAATTATAAATTAATTAAAAAGAAATTCGAAATTTTTCTGAGCCCATTGATGATGAGTACTTGACAATACTCTAAGCAGCGTTCTATGGTCAGCCAAATTTTAATATATTAACTAAATTTTTGTTCTTATCTTTCCGTTGCTATTCGAATCCTTTTAACTTTTAAATAGTTTCTTTTCGTCACTCTCAGCAAGAAAAAATTAACATTATAAAAATTATATTTTTAATAAATGTAATATGTAATATAATATAATAATTTCATATAAAATTAAAATTAAATTATTTACTTCTTTTGTTTTTACTCTATAAAATTAAAATGAGTTTATGAACCAACTGTATTTATTGCAAAATATACATTTTGAGTTATTACAAAGTCAGACTTAATACCAGAGCTTCAAACCGAAAATCGAACCGATATATTTTTTTTTCTTTACAACCGGAAAGGAAAAAATTCCGCTTCGAAGCCCTATTTATTACACAGCTTTAGTAACAACGAGGACATATTTCAACAATAATGATTCCATCACTTTGTATCTCGGATATACTGATATCACTTGGATGTCACTAACAATGGTTAGTTAAGTGCATCATCTTCTAGCAACTGTGAAATAATGTTTCTATTACTTTATATCCCGTCTATACTGATATCACTCGAATATCACTAACAATGGTTAGTGTAGTGCGTCTTCTTCTAGCAACTGTGATAGCATTACAATGGGCTATTCAAATTTCCGATTGAAAGTGCAAATATTTCTATTATTATGCGTTCCTTCAGATTAACCAAGTCTAATATAAATACAAGGAAAGCAAAAAGGGGACCTCATGTCTACTATGTAGAAGTACCTATGAGAATTCTGTTACAGTAGAGTCGATATTGAAAGATTAAACAACAAGTCTTTGTTATGTTTAATATGTACCTATACTTTTATACTATATTAAATATTATTAACAACTCCTCTGGTAAAATAAGTTCGAATCCATAAACAAAACAGTTATAAACTATGTGATTTCCGAAATATATAAGAACAGATTACTTAGTAATTTACACAAGTTTCAATTAAAATGATTTCCTAGCAATTATTCCTAGCGATAGTGATAGTGTATATGTAGCATAATAGTATAATGGTTTATGACATGTAATATGTTAGTTTGCTTAATGGATCGTTTCACAGCTACAATCTGTGGAATGAAATGTAGCTGTAAATCGACAATTAAATGAGACTACAGTGTGGGTTTCCAAATGAGTTCATTAAAACTGGTGATAAGAAATTTGTAATTTACGTCATGAACACAACTTCTAATGAGGAACAAAATAAATTTAATTAATTTTAGACACACACACATATACAAACATATAGACGAACACAAATCAAGTAGTAAAAATTGGGATTTGATATAATTTTAATTGAAATGAAAATTTTACTTTCGAAAGTACGACTATAACTGAATTTGATTAGCTGCGATGATAAAGTTCATTGGAGTTCAACAAAAATGTGTGAAATCAAAATAAACAGTTTAAACAAGGAAGAAAATAACATTCTTCTGAGTTTCTGGGTTTCTGAGTTTGTGATAAGAATAAAAAGGTCATAAAGTTGTGCATACCAACACTTAATCGATAACATATATGATGAATATATACGTAATGTACATATCATGCATTGAATATTCACTTCACCAGACTGCGTACATAAATACATATTTGTATCTATGGTTTTCTTTGTGCAGATACTATGTTTTTGTGTGGTCTATATGTATATGTTAATAAGATTAAATTTGCCTAAGGGTTGCCTGTTGTTATCCCGCAATCATTTGATGATAATTACGGTGATGGTATATACTCACTTGCCAGCATCCATCAATTATATTAAATTGATATGCGTATCTGCTATTTTGCTTATTTCACAAGGGCAGCTTTGAAAAAAGGGGCGAAGCACAGCATATGCTGATTTTCATGACAAACTGCCAAAACTGTACGAGGGTATGTTGAGAGGTTTGATTACGGCAATAAGCACTTTTGTACTTGAGAATGACATTATGCAGAGTAAGTAATTGTTGACATTGCCACAAATGAAAATTATATGTATAATATGAGCTCATCATTATGAGTTCACATTAAAAGCGCAAAGATTGATGATTGATAACCCAAAATATTCTTCTTCTTTTCGTTTACTTAAGTTACACTAGACAGAAAACTGATATTTTCAATAAAGAGGATTTATAGATTGTTTGCTTGAACAAAGTTTTTGGTAACTGAATGATTATGTTAAGTTAATGTTCAAAGAAAATGATTGAATCCTAGCTATTAATATTAGTACTTTCTTTTAAGAGTTATTGGTATGCGATATATTCTACTTAAGTTATAAAGTATATCGAATTCTAACGAGCTAAGTATGTGTTGCATAATTCATCATATCTCATCATCCGTAACTGCAAAAATATCGAAAACTGAACATTTATGAAGCTAGTTTCTCGCTGTCTGATTAGCCAAATATTCAATTAGTTGAAAATAAATAAATTTTTTGTTGTTGCGATTCATTATTAGCAGAAACCTCTCTAATAAATATACTAATTTCTGTTAAGTAAAAGAGACACAATAGTCATAACTAACTAATAGGTATAACTAATAGTCATAACTGATTTTAATCAAATTTAAAATAAAGTTAGTATTGTATTGTCTTTTAATAAGAAAATACAATATATACCTAAAATATACAGAAGATATAGTACAATGTAAGTCTTTTTATCCATAACAGTTTTATTATTTAAATAATCGTACTTTTTTCTGCTGATCTTTGTATAACATAATATTATTTAAGGTCTTAAAATCCATTCCAATCAAAGATTTCTTTTATTTAAAGTCTTAAAATCCATTCCGATCAACATTTTCGTTTACCTTTTGCAGCCGCAATATTTTTACTAAATCAACACATAAAATTATATTAATTTCTAATGAGGATAATATAATAAATAAATAAATAACTATACTATAGTTCACACTTCAAAAAAGTACGATTTTCTAAAAAAGAGTATCAGAGTAGCATACGGGAAAAAAGTACCAATTTTGATACTAAAGTACCACATGTGACAACCCTGCATTTAAATTAGCATGCTGATCAATGATAGGAACAGGTAAAAGAGATAGAAAGATAGAGAAATAGAGAAAAAAGTCAGTTACTAGAAATAAATATAGCGAGTCAGATTAATGCCTAACACGCGATTTAACAACAATAGCAGGCTAAAGTAGCTGGATAAAATAGACAAGACAAAAAAATGGGAAAAGGTCAGAGT